AAATTACATAAAAAATTGAGAACTTTTAAATAGTTGATTTGATATTAACATTGATATATTTTTTTTCATTTTTTTTGATATTTTCAAAATTATATTTTATTTAAAAATAAAATCATTATTGTGTTATTAAAAACACATAAAATCGTATTATAACATTGACAGAAACAAATAATAAAACAGAACATTAAAATCGAGATGTGTCTCGCTGCATTTTACGAGAATACGAGAACACCTTTTTACTATAGATAATCAAATGTGATAGTATTATTCCATCACATATGATACACATATGATACAAAATCAGAGACGCAGACCATTTTTGATGCAATCTTGGTTGTGGGCTAAGTCGCCCTTACACCACTAAGGCCACTCACAAGTATTATCACATGCAATAAGGTTGTTGTTGTTGATATGATACCATTATTCATCAAGACCATCATATGCGATGCTAAATCATAGACGCGTCTTATCACACGTGATAAGGGTGTTATTGCATTATCGTAAGATGAAGATGTTCCGGTTTGAACCACCACCTATATATATAAGTTGCAAGTAGATTTAATCTTATTAAACTGTTACACAAACGATGAGCAAACCTTCGAAATCCCTAAACCCCTCATATTAAACTTGTATTTAAATGTAAGAATCCAAAATCAATGTTTTATAATACGTGATCATAAGAAACAAGAGAGCCCATGGACCATGGCCCAAACGACAACATTCTATTAAAAAGCGTCAATGAAAGGGTTTTTATTACGACTTTTTAACGACCATTTTCTATGTTTCACTAACACCCCCTCAGCTTTTTGCTTCAGTCCATTTATAGTCTTTCTACTTCGCCGGAAAATCCAACACCACCGGTGGACTGGCTTCACTAATTTATCGGCGGGAGGAGGAGGAAACAATCACAAGGTCAGAATTGCATATATTGAATTTGCCATTTTTGACTCAATCACGGTGACCGGTCACTTTCTTCGTCGTTGGTGGATCAATCTAAGGTATTGTTATTTTAGATCCGTCTTTGGATTATCAACAAATCTTAGCTCATAATGTTCAAAGCTTCAAATGACGGCATGTATCTCACGCATACAATTTTATACACACACTCGTTTCATACTAGCAATTTGCGATGCCGATAGAGACGATTGAGTAGTGGCATCACAAATTAGTTATGTGCTACCTGAGAGTATGATAACCTGGGATCGAAGCTCGATACGAGTATTACATCGAAGGTCGACATACAAACTCACTTTAGATCACGCATCAGTGATTACTAGTATATGTTCACTTCTCATGGCACCCTGTGACGTTAGTTATCTATACTTATTTGGTGTAGGAAAATAAGTGTGGATTTTATTAGATGGTTGGTGTAGGAAAATATACTTAGGTGGATAATGACGACACTATAAATCTAGAACAAGTGCTTATCTAGCATAAACGTGGGCATTATTATTTCAAATGAAACTCTTGTATTAACGAACATGAGAAACAAATGTATATTGGTCATAATAAACATGATTTTCTCTAAATTTTGTTTGGTTATCCTTGAAGGATGCAAGTTTGAGGGAACATTTATCTAGTTATAGATCAAAAGATGGAAGGGTTCAAGGCCAGATTTCGATTAGCAGCGATCGTTGTTCTTTCCATTGGGATCGCTCTCGTTGCTATATATGATTTATTGAAGCCAATTTCAAACGGTTGTGCCATGACATACATGTACCCAACCTACATTCCAATATCAGCAACAGAAAGTCTGTCTTCTTCAAAATATGGACTGTATTTGTATCATGAAGGGTGGAAAAAAATTGATTTTAATGAGCATCTTAAACAACTTAGTGGGGTTCCTATTCTTTTCATCCCTGGCAATGGAGGTAGCTACAAGCAGGTGAGTTTACATTTTGTAATATGTAATTTAGCTTGTTTCTTTTTCTTTTTTGCCTTGCCACACTTATAATGATGTACTTTGATAAAGGTTTTTTTAGGCAAACTTACTTTTTTCTAGATTTTTACACCATATCCACAAGAGATGTTGCTTGTTATGGAGCACTTTGTGAATTGTTGCAAAAACAAAGTCTAAAGTTCCTCCTTGCTGGTCATACCAAATAAACACAGGAAACAATAAGCAACTAAAAGCACTTATTCTTTGGTTCCTACCTGCGATTGATATTTGAGTTGTTCTAATGTACACCTTTTCGGACGTGAATATAGCATCTGTTACATTCTGTTTCTTTTGCCCATAGATACCCTGCTATTATTATTCACTCCTCAATCACATGTGAGTTGCTTTAATGCAAACTTATTTAAATCAAAACTGGTGTTTGGAGAAAAAAAAATACATTTTCTTCATTGAATAATACAAGGATTTACAGGCATATGAATACAGCATCACAGGATCCCTAAAACATGAAACAGTCTATAAAGAATATAGAAACTCTTCCAGTTTACAACGCCTTTCCTAGTTTTAGGAAACTAAATATTTTGTTGCTTCTTTCCTTGTTTTGGGAAACTAAATATTTTATTGCTCTAATTTTTGACACCCCCTCAAGTTGGGTGTATAAACATCTAGAAGACCCAACTTGCTAACTAGAGACTTAAAGGAAGGCTTGAATAATAATTTTTGTGAGAGTATCTGCAATTTGTTGGTGTCGTGTGGCATGCGGATTTGCTCTAATATTAGACAAAAACCTGGATTAAATCAGTCTCACATAAAGTTAATTTTATTATTTTTGTCAGTGACAAAAGACCATTATTCTTTTCTTGTATATCCCTTTTCATTATACACCAGATTGGGTGAGTGAAGGTCATTTTCTTGCTTATCATGTGAGGATTTTGCATCATTGATGCATGAATGAAGTGACAGTATGCTGCTGGTTCTTCTTGCTCTTTTTGAGAATGGACTTGGAATTTGAATTGCAAGATAGAAGTCTGATATTTCTTGGTTATGGTTTGTACTTGGCTAGACACTTCGAAATTTATCACAAAATCTTTCTTTAGACAAAAGCAATTAGAGCATAAGCATACTCCAAGAACCAGAGACGAAACCTGAGTTGAATGGAATAATGCAAATTATGATACTGGTCCAGTTCTACTGACAAAGAGGATTACGTATGAATCTTATGCGAACTCTTAACATATTTCGAGTTTATATATGTTATGTATTAAATACATTAATTATTTAATCACCATATATACATACACCATAAATTACTAAAATTCATCCTTGCATTACATACGCAGAAGTCCCCCTATCTCCAAGATATCTAATATGCCATCTTGTTCTGAGTTACTTCTCACAGGTCAGGTCCTTAGCAGCAGAATCTGATAGGGCTTATCAAGGTGGCCCACCTGAGCCTATGTTGTACCAAGAAGCTTGCTTAATGTTTGAGGACGGAGTAGAGATGGATGAAACTGATATTCCAATATCCAATCAGTATACTCGCAGGCTTGACTGGTTTGCGGTGGACCTTGAAGGCGAACATTCTGCAATGGATGGTCAGATACTTGAAGAACACACAGAATATGTAGTATATGCCATTCACAGGGTATCAAGCTTGTTATCTTTGTATAAAGCACCTATAATAGCACTCGAAGATTGAATATAGTGTCATAAGTGAAAGAACGGCATGCTAGACAAATTGAGAAATATGCAGTTATATTCTTTTGCAAATAAGTTTCAAGCATTTGTTCCTTGTTGTAGATCCTGGATCAATATAAAGAATCTCAAAATGCTCGAGTAAAAGAAGGTGCCGTTGAATCTGGTAGTCTGCCTAATAGTGTCATATTGGTTGGCCACTCTATGGGTGGTTTTGTTGCTAGAGCTGCAGTTGTGCACCCTAATTTGAGAAAGTCAGCCATTGAAACTGTTCTTACATTATCAACTCCGCATCAGTGAGTTTTCTGGACTTTGTAATTATTATTCTGCGTCTAAAACCTTACCCCATAGTTGTAACATAATTTTCTATAATTTTGTTCCAGGTCACCTCCTGTGGCACTGCAGCCATCATTGGGTCACTATTATGAGTACATAAATAAGGAATGGAGAAAGGGTTATGAGGTCCAAACCTCTAGAACAGGAGCTCACTCGTCCAATCATCAACTATCTCAAGTGATTGTTGTCTCCATTTCTGGTGGTGGTAATGATTATCAGGTGATGATTTTTGGCATCTTCTTTTGTTGATTTTGATATAGGTGATAGTAATTTTCCAAGTTTCATCATAAACATATAACAATGTCCTATATTGAATGTTGGATAGCTTGAGATGAATTGTGGGGTAGTTCTTGCAAACTCGTATTTGATAAGTTGTAGTTCAATCACTTGGCTAACGTGAACTTGTCACAGTATTGAAACATAGTGTCTAAGATACCGTTTGGCATGTTGTTAAGCGGTTCTGCCCAGAAATTTGCTATCACAAGCACCATTTTGCTTTTTATCTATTTGATTCAATTAGGATTATTGATATGTCTAAAGTTATCAGTTCTCCTTGTCCGGAGGTCCCGTTGATGTGCAATTCTTTTGAATATAAATATACATATATTAAGATTACTGCTTCATGGAACTGTAATATTGGATGTATCATCTACTTGACAAGTTGCTTTTCACATGCTACTTCTGGTACTTTTAGTGTGCGACATGATAATAGAAGGGTTAGTTCATTAAGCAGACACTGCAGGTTGTGAGCTACATGGTGGCATATAGCATTGTGACATGTGGAAGACACCATTCTTCCTTGCACAAAATACATCTTTCTTTAACTCTATTGCTACTTGGCCTGGGTAAACCTATTGGTGGTTCACTCCATCTGGAAACTGCATATGCTCCTTTCCCCGTCTCTCTATATACACAGATTATTAGCTCAAATGGAATTGCAGATGACTGTTCTTCTTCCAAGTTCGAGTTTTTGCTTCATGGAAATTTACTCTATTGAAGTATTGTTTTTTCATGTTCCTTTCTTCGTCTGTCATCAAGTCTGTATTATGTCTTCACTCAAGACATGGTACCTTCATTAGCTGCTAAACGCTCGAGTGAATGAACTGTAGGTGAATGAGAGCACCAATATCTATTGAAGCTCTAATATAGAAGTAGGACAACATTGTTCACACCTAAAAGACAAAAAAGTGGCATCTACAAGCTTTAAAATGCTCCTGATGATGAAGTAAACTGATTATTTTACCATGCAAAGCTTCTTGTTTGTTATCAAATTTCTTTTGTTTAGTATTAGCATTGTTCTTTTTGGTTTCTTTGTCTATGGTGTGGTTACTTAAACTTTTGGGTTTATGCATATAAAAGCTATATTGACCAATGATCACAAGACTTGCAGCATGATTGACTCCTTAGATTTTTCATTTTAGGTGAGGTCAAAGTTAGAATCAGTTGATGGCATCGTCCCATCTACCCATGGTTTTATGATTAGTAGCATGGGGATGAAGAATGTATGGCTATCAATGGAGCACCAGGTTATCTTATGGTGTAATCAACTCGTTGTGCAAGTGAGTCTTCTCCTTTCTAACCTTCCAAGTTTTTATATCGTAAATGGGTATGATCTGCTAACTGATTTTCAGGTTTCACATACTCTTCTTAGATTGGTAGACCCTGAAACTGGTCATCCGATTTCTGGTGCCAGGAAAAGACTAGCAATTCTTACAAAAATGCTTCATAGTGGAATGCCAGGAAGTTTGTCAAGGCAATCGCATTTACTTCAGCAGTCACCACATCTTCCTTTACAGAAAGAGAGAAAATTTGCTGGTACATCGATTCAGGACCTCTTATTTATTTATTTATTTTTAATCCAGAAAAGCTAGAATAAAAGTACTAGTTATTGATGAGCTGGAAAGCTGATGGTCGTTAGGTGAAAATTTTGTTTATATGGACTTGAAAGTCATGAGTCAGGGATGTTCTTTGGACTCCATAAATTTGATGATTATCCCATTATGTGCAAGAGTTTTATGAAACCAAAAATCAAAAGGCTCATTTAATCTGGAAAAAGCTAAAGGCTAATTTAATGTGGACCAAAAATAAAAAAAAGGCTCATTTAATCTGTGAAGGAGGGAGTACTTTTCTTATGTGTCCGATTGATGTGGTACTTGCACACTGACATTATAGAAGTCTGAAAGATCACTTGCTTGGCCCTCCAGGATCTCGGAAGAAAACAATTACTGCATGCCCTAGTAAACTTCATTGGAGTGATGAAGGACTTGAAAGGGATCTTTATATCAAGACGCCAACAGTAACTATTTTAGCAATGGATGGCAGAAGACGATGGTTGGACATAAAAGAACTGGTTAGTCATGACTTTTTTCGGTTGTCTAACGTGTCATACAACGTGTTGGTATTGTTTAATTTTAACCCCTTCCAAGGTTCAGGTAGGGGGTGTGATTCTTCTACAGTCTGTTCTTTATTCAGGAGACCAAACAACCCACAATAAATGCCCCRAGCTAAAGTTCTATTCTGTTGCTATTTGTAAATATTATTTTTTGAGTTCCAGCAAAAATAATTCCTGAACAACTCAAGCAATAGAAACTCTCACGCATACAGGCCTTCTGCCTTCTTTATCCATAGGTCCTAGGATCAGAACCTGGCCCTGCTTCTGTGTTTCAAGATCATTCAAGAAAGCATAATGTGTGTTACTGAGAAAGAATGTATAAACTATGAAGGACCAAGACAAATACCATTAACACCCATAAGCTATCATCTACAATGCTTACAGAATCTAATCCGTCCTGGTGCAGCTCCTATTCCTGATCAATTGGCTACCAGGTATTCACTCAAATGAATAAGAAAAAGATGGAAGATAGAATCCGCACAGTAACTAGGAATGATGCTTATCTACTCTACCTGTCGTTGCTTTGCCTATTTCAATAATTGTTCAGAACTTTTTGTAGGATGTTTTGCTAGGGTAAAGTTTCTATTTTAGGATACTACTGAGCTGAATTTGATAGTTGGAAATGACAAATTTTTCTCATATCTGAAGGTGGCTAAATATCTTTTTACGTTGAATATTTGCTCCGATGACAATTTTTTTGTTGGTTTACCATATAGTCTGTTTTCTTACTTTCTCCTTCCTCATCACTTTCAATGCTAAGGTGATAAAATATAAAATTTCCGATTATCAGGGATCAAATGGAAGAAACACCTTTGTTCTCGTGACAAATCTTCTTCCCTGTTATGGGGTTAGACTTCATCTTTGGCCTGAAAAAGGAACTTCCCCATCAGATTTGCCTCTTAGCAAAAGGGTTATAGAAGTGACATCAAAGATTGCACAGATTTCTTCGGGGCCAGCACCAAGGCAGGTAAACCGCATACCTAATATGTTACCAAATTTTCTTCTTTTATTTTTTTTGTTGTCTTATATACATCAACTATGACTCAATTTCGCTTTCAGTTAGAGAGCATGTTATGTTCATCTGATTTAGGCAATTGTTATGTGTTTCTGAAGGAAAATCTAAAGATTTTAGGTTGTCCATGGTGGAAGTATCTTATGTGATGAGCTGTTTAAATTGTTTATAAATGTAAATGGACTGTCATGCCTGTAGATTGAACCAGGAAGCCAGACAGAACAACCACCACCATCAGCTGTATTTTGGTTGGATGCGAAGGATATGCATGGTTTCAGATTCCTGACAATCTCAGTTGCACCGAGCCCGGTAGTGTTTCCTTTCCATCCAAGTTTATCTTGTGCACTATGTCAAGTAGCTTTTTGAGGCGTGAATTGAGATTATAATGAAATGATTCTTGAAACTGAAGTAATAGATTGTTTTTCAGCACTCAATATCTTCTTGTGTCCTGTAAAGCACAAAAAGAAGATGTCTTCAACTTGATGCTGTCATTTTATTTGGTTGCAGATCATACTTCCTTCTGCATGTCACTGAATTTCGCATCAAATATATAGTCATTTATCCTTCATTCAAATCCTTTCAACTTTTAATTAGAGGCAGAAGGTTAACTTTGAGATTTGTACATGCATGGTTTGAATTTTGATTGGTCAGTGTGCTTGATTTGTATATCAAAATTAGAAGTTAAAATTCACTTAGACATTTTTAACTTCAAATGAAGAGTCCTCTGTACTTTCTGTCATCATTGTTTCATTTGTTTTGCTGTAGAATGATTGACTCGTATTGTTTCTGGCACGTCAAACATGCACTTCGATCATGTGGATGAGTAGTTGTTTTGTGGAAATTAATTCCTGTTTGCATTCTAATATTACTGTGAAGATTATTGTTTTGGTATTTGTTTATAATTATAAATGAGTAAGTTAATTAATCTTGACAATGGAAAAAATAGGGTACCAATCAGGGCTATATGGTTGGCTCTTGAGAAGAAGAAAGTCTCTAGAAAGTATGTCAATGTGATTAAGTATGTGTACAATGATGTTATAACTGTGTGGTAACTATGCGAGGAGAGATGCTCGTATCTTTCCTATTAGAATAGGACTGCACAAAGGGTCAGATTTAAATCCTTACCTTTTTGCTTTAGTAACTTATTAGCTCATGAGGACATATAAGGTGAAATCACGTGGTGTATGTGCTTTGCTACTAATTGATGAGACTGAGTCACATGTTTATACAAAACTAGAGCTGTAAATAAATGACTTATGTATCAAACAGTTATACATACAATTTTAGTGGTCAATATTGAGGGTGAGGAAATAGTGAGCATGGTTAGGCAAGAGGTGACTAAGAAAGGATATCCTCTAGTACATAGGATAAAAGCATGGTGTATGAAGAGTGTCGTGTTACCGTAAACTCCACTGAAGTAGAAACATATCCTCTCCATCTAAAAGTATTTAAATTGACTAGGATGTTAGTTGTAGGATAAAAGCATGGTGTATGAAGTCACAACAAGCATCAAGAGTCTTATGTTATCACAGAATCTGCTGGAGTTGAAGGCCTAGTCCATGCAACATGTAGAGTAGAAGGCTGGGGTGACTCCGATTGAAGAGAAACCATCTCAACAACCACCTGAGATGATTTGATCATCTCCAAATCCCGACTTTTTTGGTGTGCCGAAAGCATAAGAGGCTTGTTTCTAGAGGAGGACTTTAGGAGAGGCAGGGAAAGTCAAGTCTGACATGGGGGAATTATCAAGATAATTTTTTTGGTAATATCTAAGAATTTGGCATAGATGGCAGAGCATGGAAGGATATAAATTGTGTGATTTTTCATCTCCTTTATTGATTTATGAGGAGTTCCATTTTAGCATGTCCAACTAGTTTGGGGTAAAAGCCTCCACTGTACTATATGTTTATAATGATATCAGTATGCCAATTCTTTATATGAACGGAGATCATAAGTACCTGTGTATTTTATCTGAAGTGAGCAACTTACAGTGATTGTATATACCCAGACTGTTTCAGGGAGACCTCCGCCAGCAGCTTCAATGGCAGTTGGGCAGTTCTTCAACCCAGAGGAAGGGCGTAAAGAGTTTTCTCCTCTGTCTTTGCTCCTCTCTATGTATTCTCAGAAGGTTAGTACATTCTTGAATATCTACACTGCTCAAATACAGTGGTGATTTGACTTTTGGCTTTAATTACATACTCCTTATGTGACTTGACCCCTCCCCCTCCTTCCCAAGCTCTTGGATGAGGTTACCATGACCAAAGCTTGTTGGCTGCTCTTCTCCATGATTTATCAAAGTGATCCACTCGAATTAAACTGTTGGCAGGATATTTTCATCAAGGAGGATCATCCTATTGCAATGAATATTACATTCAGTATCAGCTTGGGTCTTCTGCCTGCTACAGTGTCTCTGGAAACTACAGGATGCGGGATAAAGAAGTCTGGACTTCCTGTTGAAGAGGCTGGAGACATGGATAGTGGCAGTAAGCATTTTTTCTTGCTTCATCTTTTTTTTAACTAAAGCAAGTTAATTGTCGTCGATGATATGTCTGGCAACCTTCCAAGATTACTATTTGTTGCTATGGATTAATTAGCAGAACTGACTTCAAACCAAGCTCTGTGTGATTAAATTTAGCATAGAGTTCTCTCCCTACTTTGCTTTATACTTAATTAGATTGGAGGCATACTGTCTTAATCTTTATGATGCTTAGGGGTTAGATCAAAATGTTAGCTGTTGAGCTATATTAAAAAGGGTCACTTGTAACATCTTCATTCATAGAAAAAGAAAGTTTTTTGAAGCATACTGGGCACCCTAGAAACTTAATTTCCTAGGTTTTGAATGGATCTAATCTAAGTGCTCCAGTTTTCCCCATCTGAATTCAAAGCAAAAGTCACCACTTGCTCACATCACAAGTGGTGATTAAGTTAGAAGGAAGGGGCCATATTGACATTAAAGAGGTAGAACCATTTTAGGAATTCGTTTTGATTTGATCTTTGTTCTTTCATAGAGTGTCTGCTCAAAGGGTTTTATAGGTCACAAATAGGCTATTGCATGCATATCTTTCTATACCATGATGTAACATTATTCTGTGCTGATGGTTATTTTTTCTTAATCTTGGAGGACTTTGCAAGCTCCGATGCTTTCCTCCTGTAGCCCTTGCATGGGACGCTACATCTGGTGTTCACATATTTCCTAATCTGTATTCTCATACAATTGAGGTGGATTCTTCACCTGCACTTTGGAGCTCAGCTGAGGGATCTGAGCAGACCAACGTTCTGTTACTGGTAGAGCTAACATGTATACAGTGTCCATTAGTTTATTGAATTCACACAACTTTTCCAGTTGTAATCTAAAGGGGATCCGTATGCAGGTAGATCCACATTGTTCCTATAAAACTAGTGCTGCTGTTTCTCTGACCGCTTCTGGCCGTAGATTTATGCTTTTATACGCCTCCCAGGTATTTTTTATAAGTCATAGCTAAATGTTATCTTTATAATAGATTTAGTTTGTGATTGCCGCAAAAGTTTTCTCTTTCAAATGTATCAAGTCAGAAATAACTGGTTCCTAAATTTCTGGTACATATCATCTACTTGCTATGCTTCACCTTAGACAGTGCATGGCGAATTAGGAACTTCACAATTTGTAGTTTGGCAAAGTAATTTCACTTTTGCAGTTAATATGTTGGTGGGTTGAGGCTCTGTAGGGTTGTATTAGGTCCTTGGAATGCTTCTACTCGTTTATGATTGGAAGTGATAATGAAGTTGGGATATACTTCTTTTTCTAATTTGATATGGGATGGCCCTAAGAAGGGAAGACAATACTAAATATGCTAAAAAGTAGTGCTATAAGATAAATGTTTTCTTGAAGTTCTAATAAGCTTGCATTTATGTTTGATAATATAATGTGAAGTAGATTATTTTCCATGCTGAATGTTCATGCTCTACTACATTAAGAATCCTCATGACGGGAGAACAGGCCCTTGGCTGCAGTTTGCAGGAAAGATCCTCGGGTAGTTTATAGTGCATGTGAAGACACTTCAAATTGTCAAGCGTTAGGGCCATTAGAAATGTACTGTGCTTAAAGCATGTAGCCTCTCTATCCTGCCTCTTTATATCCACCAGTAATTTGGAGCTCTAGTTTCATTGGAGTTATGAGATACTGTGGTTTCATGAATTACTGTTTCATGCAGTAAACCCTATAATCAAATTGCTTTTTGTTCATGCATGGCTTTGGGATTATTTTGGAATTGAGAAGCATGAAAATGTACCTTTTGTGGAAAGCTGGCAGCATGACATTGCTTCTAGGGCACTATTGCTGCTTATTGGTGCATAAAGGTTACTGTAAAGTGGCATTAAACTGAAGTGTTACAATATGCTTATAATCAGCAAAACAATTGATTTAGTTGAGGTGACCGTTTGAAACTTGAAGTTTTGTCTGCTTTAAAGTGCCTGCACACTGCAGGAACCCTTACTTTTGCCTCGGTTCCACAAATACCTGCTAATAATCAATAAAATCATGGCAACGTAAAAACGTTGTGCAAAAGAAAGGAAATAAAAAGTCTGCTTTGTGTTAATCTAGAGATCTGTTATTACTCATGTTACCTTCAACTGTAAGCTCAGAAATGACCTTTTGTTTTCTGCATATTTTGTTACTTGGTGGCACTTGGATTTATTGATTAGCTTATTACTTCAGTTGGATTTTCATGATGCAGATTATTGGTTTCGCCTTTGCTGTAGTCTTTTTTGCTCTAATGCGGCAAGCAAATGCATGGGAGCTTGATCTGCCTGTTCCTTCATTGCTGTCTGCAGTAGAATCAAATCTGAGAATGCCACTGCCATTTCTTCTCTTGGCTATTTCACCCCTTCTGATTGCTTTGTTTTATTCCTGTCTAAGTCCAAAGCCCTTACCTTCCGTCATTGGCTTCTTTGTTGTCTCAATAATTTGCTACCTGTTAGCAAATGGGATCATAATCATATTGACACTGACTACCCAAATTATCTCCCATGTGGTTGCCAGAGTACATGTTTTTTTTAAAACAAGGTCAGATCCATCTCTCTCTCTCTCTCTCTCATATATATATATATATATATATATATATATATATCTCAATTCCTTTGTGTGTGCATCTGTTAACACAAATATTCATATGGATGTCCATGCATGTTCCAGATCCAGTTCATTCAGAAATGAGAGAAGTTAAATTTTGCACTTGAATCATCCCCTAGTTAAATGTTTGAAAATAATGGACTTGTTTTCCCTTAAAATATTTGTCGTTGATGGGAACCTGATAAATAAATTTTTGTAAAGACAACTGAAACACCAAAAGAAAAAGTAAAAGTAAACTTAATGTACTAAATAAAAAACTCATGACTTGAATTTCTTACAGTTCTTGAAGGAAAAAAGCAAACACCATTTATTGTAGCACAAATTTTTCAAGCCAATGTCTACACCTTACGCAAAGAGACTCTACTAACTGGATAGTTTCATTTGACTGCTTTGCTCTTATGATTTTCCTGTTCTCCTTCCTCTTTTTAAATCCATTAGAATAACTTTTGGTAAATAAAGTTTCTCGTCGATCATACATCTTGTGTTGGCATCATATGTTCTTTTACGTAAGAAGATGTCCTTGTTATAAACTAAATAAGTACAATTTTGTAGGTGGCGATGGTGGATACTTGATCTCTCCACTAGTGTCTTGTCATTCAAGGTAATTATTATTTGGTTTCTACCAATAAAAATATTGCTTCTAACTTCTAAGAACTTAAGTGGTGGCACCTTTTTGCCTAGGGTCTTTCCTTTTTCTTTTTCGGTTCCCTTTTATTTGTTTCACATCTGGAGATCCTCCAAAAGTAATTATCTTCATATTGTATGACAGGTGATGAGGGTCATAAATGCCAATCCATCATTGGCTATGTCACTGCTTGCTATTGCTTTGGTCTGCTTTGTCCATCCAGCATTAGGTCTCCTCATTTTGCTGTTCTCTCATGTGCTATGCTGTCACAATGCCTTGTGCAGGTAATATTCCAAACTTCTGCTCCTCACTGCGTGGTTGAAAGGATCCGTAATAAACTGCATTCAACCCAGAACTGTTTGTTTCTGTGATAATACTGTCAGTGACATGCTTTATTCAAACTGATTGGGATGGGCTAAACTGGAACCAAAAGAAACTACAAAACGTATTGGTCTTACTATCTAGAAACAAAGTTGTGATTTTTTTTTTTTGCAGTAATGAACACAAAAGCAAGAATGGCCTTCACCCTGTTTTGCTTCTGTGTAACAGAAATACATTTGGATGCTTTCTGATCAAAGTTATTTCTTCTCTGCCTCCAATTGTCAAGAGTAAATGTTCCGACCACCAATGGTACCATAAAAACACCATTTTTTTTCATTTTGTTGAAAAGAGTGAGTTTGCCTTTTCTACATAAAAGAATTGCTGCATGTTTGATGGTAATTTGGTTATCTTTATGGATTTACCAAGAACCGTGTCTGAACTGTAGCTAAAGACTAAATCTATGACAACCACCAAAATGGGTCATCCAACACACCATTTTTTACTTTTTCTGTAGTGCATAGACATTTTTATTGTATATAATTAAAATGGTGAGCTTTTTATGGCAACTCTTGGTGGTCACTACTTGCCCTTGGCTAAATTGAAAGCAAGGTAAAATTCCAAAGGTATATATTGAATTAGCAAATGCATCCTTTCATTCAAAGAGCATACTCATCGTAATGATCTTATAGCTTATGCTCATTCGCCTCTCAAACAATGCATTTAACTTCAGCTGGTTTGACTCATCTACTCGTCTTCATTCTCTGATTAATGGTTCTAATCGAATTTATTTGAAGTTTTTGACTGGGGATACACAAGTATTCTTGCATGAGTCATAAGCAACTTGGCACCTGAATATTTCTTTAGTCAATTTTGAAATAAAGATTTGTCAAGTTGGTTAACTATCAGTGTTGTGCACTTCGCACACTCCAGGGACTTTACAGAAAAAGTCGCTCTACTCTTTGAGGGTAGAGGTCAGTTGGTCATACATCTCACCCCAACCTCCTGGTGGGATATCTGGGCTAGTTTGGTTTGTTTGGTTTGGTTAACTATCAGTGTTGCTGGTCAAATTGGCAAATGACTGATGGTACTTCTATATTTTCTAGTTATTTTCCCTATAGCTCGTGGTCCTTAAATCGTTTCTACCAGAAAAATTTCCCCTTTTTCTGACAAGGAGCAGATAATATTTTGATTCCCTCATAGCATATGAAACAAAAATTAATCACCTTTATTCTCATGGATATGAGTTCCATTCCTTACATACCAAAATATGCATTTGGTTGGTCAATTATGTTCGGTCTTGGTCTGACAGGGAATCCTGTACCAATACATCTTCGACATTTTTTTGAAGTATATAATATTTATATACGGGAAATGAAACTCACACACGCTTCCTACCTTTGGTGAGGTTGGAATTCTTGACCTGTAGGAAGGTTGGGTTACTGAATACCGCTAGGCCAAAGACCCTTTGGTTCAATATTAATTCTTTTGTTACAGCTTTTTTACAGCTTCCAGCAAGGCTCGAAGCGAAGATTTATTTGGGTTTGGAAATGGTGTGAGGTCATCCAAATCCAACAATGATGAAAACGAGGAAGGTTTACCTGTGGATGAGAACAGTTCCGGCACCCCAGACTCTGCACGAAGCTATGGAGAGACACAGCTAGAGATATTCCACCACCGGCATGGCTTGCTAATCTTGCATCTTCTTTCTCTGTTGATGTTTCTTCCTTCACTCGTTGCTTGGTTAGAGGTACAATCGATAATTCTCCCATTGCATTAGCTTATGTCCTCATCAACCAAGACTTAGATCCAACCAAACGAACCTGGTAAATCTCATACATCATCAACTAAGATTTCTGTTGATGAAATCACAATCTGTTCAGACGATTACTACTCCCTGTCCTAAAATAAACGTCCACGATGAAGAAGGCACATGATTGTAGGAATTTGTAATCATTCACTTTTCATTAACTCAGACAATCCTACCCTTAATAATAGAGGGGGTGATGAATTTCTCCATCTCATAATTACGAGTACAATTGGAAAGTAAAATAGAAATAGACACTTATTTTGGGACACATAATTATGGGTAGTACGGGTACTTATGAAAATATACACTTATTTTAGGACAAATTAAAATAGAAATGTGGACACTTATTTAGAGATTCACTAAAATAGAAATGTGGACACTTATTTTGGGACCGAGGGAGTGATCAAAGTCTGCAAAAAAGAGGAGTTTCAAGATCATAACTAGTTACATAAACATATCATGCTAGCTATTTACACATGCTTTCTCACATTTACGAGCATTAGAGCATCTCCAATAGATTCTCTATAATTTCTTTAAAATAGAGAACCAAAAAGTCATAGTTTCTAAAAAGAATTACATTTAAAGATTTCAACATCCATTATATTATTAAAATATTCTATAAATTTATAATCCAATATACTTTTTTAGAAAAATTTATATAAAATAATAATAATTCAACCTCATTGGTGAGAATGAATAAAAAACTAATTTATCTCTCCACACATCAAGTTTTAGAGAATTCTCTAAACTTGGAGCGTTCTCTAGTTTTCTCTGTTTTAAAGAACGATCAGAGAATCCGTTGGAGCAAAATAATAAACAAAACTCTCATTTTCTCTATTTTAGAGAATCTGTTGGTGTTGGAGATGCCGTTATATACCTTAAAACAGGAGAAATGGCTGAAAAGATAAAATCAGTCATATTCTTACAAAGGGAAATGCTTCTTTTGTATCTTTACTAGAAACTTGACTTATTTGCAGCAAAGCATAGTTGCAGCATTTGATTCCATATTTCCATTTCTTATAGTTAATTATAAACATCAATCAGTTTTCCTGTGGCTCCTTCTCTGGTTCCTAAATAGGTGGTAAATTACCAAGCTACCCATGTCAAATTGAAACCCACCTACCTTACTCTCAAGTCTCACCCGTCCTGTCTAGTTCCGTCTGCTTACCAAACACACCTGTATGGATGTTGGTCCGTTTTACTCAACAAAATGGAAATGGTGTAAACGAAAATCTTAGTTTCATGTCAATATTAAACATCAAATATATAAACCAGTTTCAAATACGATGTTCCTTACAAAATCTTTACTTATTTTTGCAGAGGCTAAGTATGGGCCACAACTTCCCATGGTTGTTGGATTCTGCGTTGTGCATGGGTGTCGTTCTTCATGGTATTTGTGGCTCAAAACCCGAGTTTAACGTCTTCTTTCAGATCCCAGGAATGAGAGGGTATGAAATAAGACAAGGGTTAGTGTACCTCCTTGCCGGCTACTGTTGCTATCTTTCAGGTTTAGATTTGGCTCCTTACAAAGCCTTCTATGCCATGGCTGCCATTGGAATCGTTTCATTTGTTTTTAGAATCATCGAAAGAAGAAACCAACCATATTATAGCAATAGAAAGCATTCTCATCGACACTGAACAAATGGCGGTTTATGCTACCATCGATCATCCTGTTGTTCGTTGTACAATTCATATGTAACGTGTTGATGATAGTGAGTTGGACTATGGATTTGAATGTCTTCAGTCCCAGAATTTTGATGATTTTGATATTCTTTGATTTCTTTTCAGAAAAATAGACTGTAATTTGTTGTGCTTGTTTCAGTGAACTACTTTTGCCAAGTGTCGCTAGTCCAGGTTTTGGTGTCTTTTATGGGATGGCTAATTGATGGAAATCCCGTCTTTTTTGGTTCGAATCGAGGCGCTGCTAAACCGGAGGTTCACCTGTGACGACTCTAGGTCATTTATGATCGTTCAAGGATACATCTGTATCAACTAGTCCCACATGGATAGAAAATAAGATTTATAAACTCCTTATAAGCCTCAAATTATGAACTACTAGTAACTTCTATCATTGTTTTAAGTCATCTCCATACACATGATTACCAAAAAAGAATTTTAGAAAATCATTTTCACATATGAAACAAATAGTGTTATTTTATATATAAACCAGATAAAATTATTTCACATATGAAACAACTGATGCGAAAAAACATATTCATAATTTCATATATGGAACACAAATATCTGAACAATAATATCGTCTTTAAATTCTAACTTAAAATAAAACTCATTGTATGATTGAAATTGAATTATCATAGTTTTGAATATTTTTATAGTTTTTATTTTATTTTTCTAATTATATTTAGTAATTTAATTATATTTGTATTTTGAAGGTTCTTTTAATATAAAATTAAAACATATAAGAAGAAAAATAACTTTCATATAGAATTTGTATACATGCCTACCAAAAAAACTAGTATTGAGAAGCGAGGATGGACTCTAGATGTATGTACAAGTTACTAAGATTGTTATGGTTAGGTGAATAAATTCAATCAAGTTTTGTATACCTATCCATATTAATAATTCAACAAAATTGAAAATAAGATAACTGAAAATTTAAAAATCAAAATATGTTGTATTATTGATTAAACTTTAATTAACAAATAATTAAAAATATAAGTTGGTACGGTACAATATTATCGTGATACACGGCTTCTAATACCATGTGCAAACTAAATTTAAATAGCTGGTACAATACTGCCAATGAACTAAATCTATAAAGTTGATTTGAAAATTAATTGATTTGTCTTGGTACAAAATTGACCAAGTAAAACGCAAAAAAGATGTGGACCCTTTTCGTTTATCAACAGCTATACCCAACGTTTGACTCGAGGTTCAGTTCCTTCTCCTTGATCTATGGTGGTTACTCATCTGTTGTTTTTTTTTAATGCATTAGATTTCGATTCACATCAGTTTCTTCATTGGATCTCTTCTGCAATGTGTTGTCCTCTAATGTTGCTCATGGAGATTTTACGCACACCAAGTGTTTGAGTATTTGTCTACAAGAAGTTTGTTTGTCAAATTTGACTCCAGCCTTCTTATCTTCTTGGTTATTAACAACAACAATTATATCTTATTGGCTTGTTGCATACCTCTAAAAATATTCTTGTTGCCTTTTTGGTTTGCTAATTGTTAATTGTATTCATAAACTTCCTTTAAATTTTTGATTTGAGATTAATTTAACATATTAGGTATAGTGAGCATTTGGCATAACGGTATATAAGTCATTGATTTTTTAGGAGGTCAACAGTTTAAACCTCACCAAATATGTAAACCAATAGTAAGAAGGACGTGTTAGTTTATTTTGTTACGTGTAAGGATTTGTTGGTAAATAGCCGTTAATACATAAGTTATTTAGGGGGTGTTTGGGAAAACTTATTTAAGGTGCTTATCAACTTATTTCAGTCCACAACCGCCGATAAGTTATTTTGAGTGTTTGGATGTGAAAAAAAAAACTGCTTATACCGATGCCAAACCGGTAATAAGTTGTTTTTGATAAGTTACTCCCTCTTGACTTATTTGACATATTACCCTTTTAACCCTCTCATCGCATCCGTCTCTCCCCTCTCATCGCCGGCAAGTCCTCTGGTTTCTCATCGCCGGCTTCCTGCTTCTTCCTTCGCCTGTGCATACTCTTTCTCTATACCGAACGGAGGAGCGACGACCGGAAAAGAGATTCGAAGGAGACAACGATTTCACCGGAAAAGAGATTCGAAGGAGACAACGATTCGAAGGAGACAACGACCGGAAAACAGCAGAAGATCATCGATCGAACCAACTTCCAACGATTCTAGGGTTTCAAATATGAACCCTTTTTCTTCAACTCATATACCTGATGCTTTACCTGCGTATCAACTGATATAGGGTAGAAGATAACCTAAAAATGAGCTGTCTTTTTTGGTCATTTTGCATTTTGGTACCGCTATAAGCTAATCCAAACACTTTTTACAAAACTCCAGTTTGATACCGCATAAGTTAATAAGCACTTTTACAAAAAAAAACATAAGTTCTTTTAAATAAGCTTACCCAAACACCCCCTTAGGTTGTTTCAGTCGAGTTCCGTCTGCTGCAGAAGTTGGCATTCACAGAGAAAAATGAAGTGCATTAAGGATTTGCTCTCAACGATCTTCAACACCCATCTCTCTCACCACCAACAATGTCGAACAATCACAAAAGTCCGATTAAAATGGGTCAAAAATCGATCCCTAGATAACATCATCGACATCCACACTGATCTCAAGGCCGCCTGTTTACTCAAAGACGCCATCATCCACCGCCCCTCCGCCACCCAGTTCCTCACCGCCAAATCCATCTCCGACACCCAAAAACTCCTTGGAATCACCGTCCCTACCCTCCGGTTCATCCGCCGTTACCCTACTCTCTTTGAAGAATTCCCACACCCTAAATACCCTAGCCTCCCCTGTTTCCGCCTCACTAGCATTGCTCTAAATTTGCACAAGATAGAACGCAAAATCTACGAAACCCACGAATCAGACATCGTTGAAAGACTCTGTAGGGTGTTGATGATGACCAAGGATAAACAAATCCCTCTCCAATCGCTTCATCCATTAAGATGGGACTTGGGTTTTCCATATGATTACGATAAAACCCTAGTCGAGAAGCATCCGGATAAATTTCGGATCGTCAAGGGATCCAACGGCTTATCGTGCTTGAAACTTGAGAAATGGGTTGACGAATTCGCTGTTTCCGAGCTTCAAAAGAGTAATGAGATCAAGGAATCATTCAACGATGGTGGTGATCAGTATAGAAGATTCATAAGAGGGAAAACTGCATTAGCATTCCCATTGAGTTTTCCCAGAGGTTATGGAGCACAAAAAAAGGTGAAATCTTGGATGGATGAGTTTCAAAAGCTTCCATACATATCTCCGTATGAGGATTCAAGCAGCATTGCTCCAGAAAGCGAGTTAATGGAGAAGAGGGTTGTTGGAGTGTTACATGAGTTCTTGAGCTTGACTGTTTACAAGAAAACCAAAAGGAATTACTTGAGGAATTTGACAGAGGAATTGCGGATTCCATTTCGGTTTACACGAATCTTTACTCGATATCCAGGAATTTTCTATCTGTCATTGAAGTGTAAGACTACATCTGTGGCATTGAAGGAAGGTTACAGAAGAGGGAAGCTGGTTTACGCTTGTCCGATTGCAAAGTATAGAGGGAAGTTTCATCATGTGATGAGGACTGGATTGATTTATAGGAAGAAAGGGTTGGAGATGTTGGGTGAGTTGAGTGCAGATGATGTGATTGGGATCGAAGAAAAAGAGTCGGAGGAGGAAGAGATTGAATCGAGTGGCGAATGGGTTGAAGAAGATGATGATGAAGATGAAGAATTTGATGATGTTTCTGATCAAGATTAGCAATTTAATTGCTGGTGGAGACATTGGGAGGTAATTCTGTATTCTGAAACCTTATTCTATCAAGAACAAGTGTTAGGAATGGTGATAGATATATACAGGGAGGTTCAGGGAAACGAGGAACACCTTGGTATCCATTCATCTAGACAGTATGTACATGTGTATATGATTGAAGCTGTTTTTGCACGTGCATACCGGACAAATTGCTTATAAGTTACTTGTATGCACATGTACATACCATCCACATGAATGTTATCTGGGTAGTCCTTAATTTTTCATTTTTTTTGCAATTTTCCTAGTAGATGCTTGTCATCTTTGATTGTGGCCATGAAAGAGGTTAGGTTGTATCATTACCATACAAGGATCAGGGTAGATAGAATTGCTGCTTGAGGCAATGTGCTTAATCTTATAGAAGTGAACAGATATTTCATTTTTGATGTATTGTTGCTGAATAACTAGCAGAGAAATTAGTCAAGTTTGGTAAAAGCTAGTTTATGGGCTATGTAAAATGACTTAAAATGGCTTATTGAAAAACAATTATTATAGGTATAATTGGAAAAAGAATGGGAAAAAAAACTCTTGAAAATTGAAGTCTTGATAAGCTGGCTTATTCGCTAGATTATGGCTTATCAAACGGGACCTTTTACGTTTTTTTTATTTATAAATAAGTTAGTTTAGGGTTGTCAAACATGTCTTATGTGAACTGATTGGTATCTTTTTCAGAAGTAGCTTTTTGGAAAGATTCTCTTAAATTTATTTATCTAACAATTGTTATAAAAATACTTGGTGATTGTAATTTCCAATTTTTTTATTATTAAAATATGTTAGATATAGATATATTGTTGAAAATTTGTAATAACATACGTGTAAACTTAGAGGCCATAAAGGGCCGTTTATCAAACGCTTATTTGATGAGCATTTAGTGGTCATTTACTTTACTGGATAGAGATGACAAAGACTGATAATATTACGCAACAAGAGCGATGACAAGGTTTGAGAGACTTATATGGCAAGTGAGTGGTGACAACTCTTATCTGCTTAGTGTTTACCAAGTAAATTGTTGTATACGATGTCGTTTTAATTGACTCGATTCTTACTCTGTAAGGTAAGTGAGAGTGTTGCACTTACCGCGTTTGGATGAACAACCTCTTGGTACTTTTCTGTGACCAAAAGATAAACAATTCCTCGTTCAAAGAAAGAACAAGACAAAAAGCAAATTAAAATTCCAAGTCTCTTTTCATTTAACCAAAGAATTTCTTGTTTGCTACACAATTATCCAAGAATCAAGATTTTGAAACAAAATTTTGATGACAACCGACCATCACCACACCACCACTGTATAATGCTTATTGTCATAAGAGTTTGTTTGTTAGCAGCTTAATGAGGTTAATAAAACTCATTGTTTATTGAATCAGTTATACATGATTGTTTGATTATGGCTTAATGATGTAGAAAATGGCTTTAGTAAGCATTTAGAGGAAAGTTTTTATGCGGAAAGACAAGTTTTCTTTAAGCTTATCCCTTCCAATTAAAAACCACGCTCCTCTCATTTACGAAATACTCTTCCAAACAAAAACTTACACAATCTATACAGACGGATTAATCAATTATCTATAGCTTTATTCATACATGACTTAATGGAAAACAACCAAACAGCCTCTAAGCCATGATGTGGGTACTTCTTGATCAATGGTTTTGCTAGTGATGCATTGTTTTTGTTGAAGAAAGTTGTCGCCAATCCCGTCTTCCTTGCTCACATATCCATCACAACTATAAGCGGTGCTCCTGTACGATTTCAGGGCTTGCTCCCTTTCCTACATTCGAGTAGCAAGGAAGGATGTTTGACGAACTATTTGTTAAATACCTAAAATACCCTTCAAATTTATTGTTAAAAATCCAAAGATTAGTGGCCAAATGAAAGCAGTCACCTAAAGGCCATTTACCAAACGCTTATTGCGTAAGTGGTTATATAGTGTCACTTACCTTACTAGGTGAGCATGACGATGACCAATAATCATATCCGATAAAAAGGCATAGCATAAACAAATAATATTCCCCTTTGAGCGAGAAGATTCTTACCCGTTAGCGGTTAATGCGTTTAAAAAGATGTTTACCAACAATTCATTTTGATTACCGTATTCGATTAGGTATGCGAAGATTATGACTCTTGCCGATAAACCGTTACTCGGTAAACCTATGGTAGACAACCTCCTACTTTTAATTTCAGACGCTTATTTTAAAACAAACTAAAATAGAAATTAGAAAAATGGGAATTTTTGGTTTTTGTTTTAAAATGGGTCAATTGAAAAAAAATATGTGTTGAGAATAAGATAGAAGCAATTCCAATTTTTTATTTATTTTAAAGATATAAAATTTATCATTAAATCCCTTAAATTATATTTTTCTTAAGGTTAGGAATCATTTGTCAAATGCTTATCTGGTGATTATTTACTTTACAAAATAAACATGGTAAAAGTCGAGATTGAATTCGGAGTTCGTAGTTACTTCGACTAGATGAGTCATGATAATGGAATAATTAAGTCATAGTTCATTGGTCCCATAATAATAACATATTTTGGTTCAGACATTTGCTCTTATAATATCACTTTTAGCCGGTAAAAGTGATGATAAAGATGAAGAATATATCCAATAGGTGACGGATATTTATCAAACAAATTATTGTTTACTTGAAGGGTAATTGCGTAATGCAGCGAGATACATCTTAATTTTAATGTTTCATTTTATTCTTAGTTCGTGTGAATGTTATAATACTGTTTTATGTGGTTTTGAGAAATCGATAATATTTTTATTTTTAAATAAAATATAAATTTGAAAAAGTTACAAAAGTTCTAGTAATGAAGTAATTTATTTTTTGTTTAATAATATAAACTTTTTAAAAGAATAATAATTAAATGTTTAGTTAGATAATCATTATCAGTTAGTTATATAATTCAAACATAAAGTTTTAATAAATTATATTTATACTTATTTTATTTATAATCTTGAATTTTAAGTAATATATATCAATAAACAACATTTTATACATATAAAATAATTTTTAAAAATTTATGTCAAATACTTTATAATAAAATAAATTAAACCCAAATAACGAACGTATTAAAAATAATAAACCCAATTATCTCAAGAGAGATGTTTATTTCGTTTCTCTCTCTTAAATCCAGTTACCTGTTGGTTGCAAAATCCCTACCCCCTGTCGTCGTCTTCACTGAAGAAAGAAAACCCTACTGGAACACACAAGATCCGAACCTTAATCTGGCAAAAGAAATCACTTCCACATTAGTTAACGCGCTGGGGTTTTGGATGATCGGTTTTGATAATTCAATCAGTTTGCCACATTTGATAGTTTCTCAATGGGAGCGAGTAGAAAGCTTCAAGGTGAGATCGATCGGGTTTTGAAGAAAGTCCAGGAAGGCGTCGATGTTTTCGATAGTATTTGGAACAAGGTACTTTTTTCTTTCTTTCTAGTTTTCTTCAATTTCTTGATTTTATTTGTACAATGCATGATGTGTACGGTCGGTTGTCGCAATTTCTTTGTTTAGGTTTACGATACTGACAATGCCAATCAGAAGGAGAAGTTTGAGGCTGATTTGAAGAAGGAGATCAAGAAACTTCAGAGGTACAGAGACCAGATTAAGACATGGATACAGTCCAGCGAGATCAAGGATAAGAAGGTTGGCTCCATCCCCATGTTACTTAGTGGTGGTATTTGGTTCTCTTAGTTTGCAATGGAGGCATCTAATCGCCTGTTGCATTTGGTGCTTACTCACTCTTACTTATCATGAATGATGCTTACCCATGTTACAGGAGTATCAAATACTGTTTGCCATGTAATTATGTACTCAAATCACACTTGCTGGACATGTGCCCCTGAATTTTGGTTGTACCATTTTACAGTGAATACCATTTGTTGTATGCCGTGAAAAATTGCAAATATGTTGTTTTCTCTGCTATCATGTGCTAGTTAGATCTTGGAAGCACTTGAATTAAGGCTTAGAACTCCAATAAATTTTTTATGAAATTTATTATCCTTACTATTCCAGAATTGAGAATCAGACCAGGTAGAGAAAGTTGTTTAAGGCCAATGCCAGAAGCAAGCACACGTTTTTTTGTCAAAGACTGTTAGCTATAGTGTACCTCCATTGATAAGATATAATTTCAAGAAATATGTGAGAAGATATTAAAGAATGCCTTATCTTGTACAGACCTATTGGGTGGGGATTTGGGGTTTGGGGGGGAAGATACATGATGAGCAAATGTATATGATTTTGCTTCTCTAGAAATGGTTGATTGTAGTTCTGAAGGAAGTTTTGTAGTTGGAAGTTTCTTGTTTCAAGCTGGTCTATAGATGCAGTGCTATAGGCTATGTTCAAGTCTGTGCATGAAGATTCATTTACTTGCAGGATTAATTGCTTTACTCCTTTTTGACAATGATTGTAAAATCTACAGCTTTAGCTAAGTGTGCTGCTCACAAATGCTTTTCTATAGCATGACATTGTAAACGCTAAACCTTGTGGTCCCTACCTTTTAATGTCATTCTGGTGTAGCAGTTTTATCTTTCAAATTGTCTCTGAATTTTATCTGTAGTATGTGGGATACATACTTGAAAAATAATTTAAGATGTTTATTTCATGTTTCAAATATGTCCTTCCTATTGACAACAGAATCTTCTTTTTGACGCATGTTGACATAGGTTAGTGCCTCTTATGAGCAGGCTCTGATGGATGCTCGCAAGCTTATTGAAAAAGAAATGGAACGATTTAAGATATGTGAGAAGGAAACAAAGACAAAAGCATTCTCTAAGGAAGGTCTGGGACAGCAACCTAAAACGGTAGGTATTACTATATTTCATCATATCTTTTTTCTGCATGAATACGAAATTGGGCAGCAATGACATCAACTATTTTTATTCTAAAGCAAGTACCTTTTTCTCTGCATACTTCACGGAGTTTTTTATTTATCAGGAGTTCGTAGTTCTTCAAGTTGATGTCAACTTATAGGCATGAGCTGTGTAATTTCAGAGGGTGCTTGGTTGGAGGAGGTATTAAAGGGTGATGAATTGGAATGAATAATGGTGTTTGGTTCAATATAATGCAACAAGGGATTACTTAAAAATGGATAATCATCCATGCCCTACTAAACTGGGGATTCATTCCCCACTCCCACTCATTATCATACCTCATTACCCAATTCCCATTTCCATTCCCTAGAAATGACCCAAGCACCCCCTCAGATTAGACTAGTTCCTTTACCTTTGTTTTGCTTGGCCATGCACATACTAATTATAGGTCCTAATTTATCGAAATGCTAGTCTATGGAGGTCATATACCAAAGCGTGTTCCAAAATATCACTATTTTTTATTTTTAACCATGAGGGATGAACCATATGACGTGATTATCACCATTTGCTAACAAACAGTACAAATAAATTTGGCTTTAAGTCTCTTTAGTGAGGCATCCTTATTGATTGTCTATTGTAGGATCCGAAGGAGAAAGCCAAGTCGGAGACTAGAGATTGGTTGAACAATACGGTATGGAACGGTACTTTTACTTTGAAGTCTTGACTCTTGCTTTGCTACCTGAGAGCTGTTGTACTTATTTTTTTCGGGCGCAAATGGACCATCTTAAAATAACTAATTGTATTTGCACTTAGCACAATGAGACTTGCCAGTATAGAAGTTTGTCTGTGTTGACAGCTGCTATCTACCCCCTACCCTACCCCAATTTCTATTGTACTTTAGTTTATCTTTTGAATCTACTCATTTTAATTGTTTTTGTTGCTCAGCCACTTCTTCTTGATTTCAGTAGACCTTTCTTGTACACAATGTACCTGTGCCTTGACTAGTGTTTATGGTTGGACAGTTCTTCTATTGAGAGTGATCATTTTATAGAGTCAGTATGCATTTTGGCACCCTCATTTGAACATTATATTTAAATATACTTTTTCTTTGATTAGGTGTCTGAGCTGGAATCTCAAATTGATAGTTTTGAAGCTGAGATGGAGGGGCTATCTGTTAGAAAAGGGAAAGCAAGGCCACCAAGATTGGTAAATATGGCGAATGAGGGGTTCAACTTTTTATTCATCATCTGTTACAATTTCATAATTTATTGAGCACTTTGTTCCACAGACTCATTTAGAGTCATCAATCAACCGGCATAAGGCTCATATAATGAAGTTAGAGTTGATATTGAGATTGCTGGATAATGATGAGCTGAGTCCTGAGCAAGTCAATGATGTTAAGGATTTCTTGGATGACTATGTGGAACGAAATCAGGTTTTTATTTTATTTTTCCTTTCAAGGTTCTTCTAAAATTTTGAGGTCTTGCTTTCCTTGCAACACTAAGGACTGTCAGATCTATTTTTCCATCTGGAAATGGCTTACACTTGCCACTTGAAGAGATAGCATGGTTTTGTATATCTGCTCCGAAGGCAGCAAGTACTAGCAGAAATCCTCGAGAATTGTGCTCTTTATACTTGCTCTTTAAATTTCTATGGATGATGTGGATAAGAGAACATGGAGTGATGCTAGTCTCGTCCCTGAGCTAGTTCATGCTTAGAGCACCCTGTTATATTTTTTGATGGGATTCTTTCTGTACCTTAGCCAAACAAGTATTAGATAAAATGAAATTGCTGTTGATGTCATGATTGTATCATGTTCTAAAGGTATTAAACTTAGTCCTTTCTTCTGCAGGAGGATTTCGATGAATTTGACGACGTTGACATGCTATACAACACCTTACCTTTGGACAAGGTAGAGTCACTGGAAGATCTAGTTACCATTGGTCCACCTGGTCTTGCTAAGGTAAATTGGAAACCTTACTTGCTGAATGTGGATTATTGATTATTGTTTGGATGTTTCTGTAATTTTAATAAGTTCCTTTCTTGCTCTCATATTTATATGATTATATGACCTTCCCAGACTTCAATTGGTGTATAAGAAAGTACAGTAGCCACATGCTAATTTATTTTTTGATTTCATTTTTGTTTATGCTATCAACTATAAGTGAACTTAATCAGGTGCATCTAGATCTTATGAAGAGTATGCCGATGAGCAGAGTAGGAAAATAAAGAACATGAACTAGGACGGTGTGCTATATGGATAATTATCTTCATGGTTCCTAGAGGTTGATACATGTCACTCATCAGCAGCCTATTTATATTTTAAACAGTTAAAACTGTATAAAATAACTCTATGCCCTCCAATCACATATTCATATTATTGTTTGTTATTGGTACCTTTATTTAATACCACACATCTTACAAGCTAACCTCCTCTTGGAATGGCTGTATGGTTTTCCTAAGTTGTTAAGCCTCCTAAATTGTTATTGGTGCTTAAACCAATGGAACTTGGTGTTCAACTTTTTTTAATCCCCATCTGTGCACTATTTTGTCTAAATTGATTGACCTCTTTTTTGGATAACCCACTGCTATTAAAATGCCATATTTCTTTTTCAGTGGAGAAGGTTCATATTAGAAATTTTGAGTTTGCATGTGGACAATTTTGGATTCAAGCTCATCATCTTTATGAGTTCATGTAATAGAATCTAGTATATTAACACAACTATTATGATGTATATGAATTTAAGGATTAAAACAATCAAATGTGTTGCATCATGACATAAATGAAGAAATGGATTGCTTTTTATATTAAAGTGTTCTATCTTTCTCAATGATGTCTTTTAAATCTAACACGTAAAAGTTATACAGCAGTCCTGCTCAATATTTGGTCCAATTTGTGTGGATGTGTGATAGGGAATCGATGGAGGTTTCCTATTTAAGTGGGCTGATAGGAAAATATTTTTATATAGACATTGACCCATATCCTTTGTGTTATTGCCTAATTGAAGTCTGTGTAATTGGCTCGTTAATAATTTCTCCCAAATCAATTTATGGTTGCAACTGCTTGATCAGCTCTAAGCTTCTAGTTCACATTCACATCACTTGGACATTTGTGTCACGACATGCCAACCCCAATTCTTCATCAATCTCTGCCTATGCTCATTTTTTTGGGCTACAACATAGTGCTACCCATTTTCTTGATCTTCTTGACTCCAATGTGATCCAAGAGTTTGGTCATTCACCTCTCCATTCGAGATCCTGGCAACCTTGCTCCTTTTTAAATTTGAATTCTTGAGGCAGGTGCCTAGACTATTCATTTAGGCTAGATAGCATAGGCCATCTATCATAATAATGGCTGCTTTTGTTGTCCTGGGTGGAAAAGCTGCAACAAACTCATGTCAACAAGAGTTATCATGAATAGAGTGGTCATATTAGTTTGATTTTTTTTGACAGGGTGTTGGTGCTAGTGGCGCTGTTCTAAGCATAAAATCTGCCTTGTCTACATCTTCAGCACAGTTACCGGTATGTTCTGAGAAACTAGCTCTCCAACAATATGACATATGTCTATTGCTGTCATGCGTCAATGTCTTGACCACCAAACATGTTTTTGTAGTGGCAATATAACCCTATATTCATTTGCCTGGGCCTTGCAGGCCTTAGTAACCCGAAAGGCATGATTTTTTAATATGCATCACATGTTTCCTTTTGCATTTTTATCTTGAGGATAACCACCACCAAAAGAAAATATTGAGTTGCAGCCCATGCATTGAAGTCCATGTCTAGTGTAGGGATCTACACAACCTTGAATGTAACAGCTTTACTCAGAAACAGATATAAACTGAAAGTAAGTGATTTTTATGGTAAGTGACTGGGTTGCACACTGTTTTTTTTCTTTTCTTTCTGTATATAGTTTCTGAACTTTAATTTGTAATTAATAAGATGAGAAACGAAAGGTTAATCTTAGCTTTCCCTGGACTTGGAGCAACAGTGTAATCATTTGGCAGGTTTTCAGTTATCTTTTATGCTTGAGGTCCTTCCATCCTAGCATCTGTTGGGTATCTTACATACCATATGGGTTGCTTGGTTTTGTTTGATCTGGAAGTGGCACCTGTCATAGTTCAAACACCTCCTTCGGTCATGGAGTATTGATTATTTAGCAAGTTTGCTGATATTTTAATCCCATGTAAAACGAGTTTTATTTATCCTTCTCTTATTTTACAAGGCACTTGGTTGTGGAAGCCAGAGTTTGTCTGTGCTGGCCAAGTAGTGTTCATCTTGAGGTGCTTCATATTGTCGTCATAGCTTCTGAAGTCTGACGTCTCTAAGTAGGGTTGCAACCGTACATTGAACATCCTAAGGAATATGCTTAGGGATCACAAATGGATCTGATGAGGCTTGAATCTCAGATGTTCTTCTACTTGACGTAGAACTAGACTATTATATAATTATATAATTGTTTTTTCATTATTTTCTTCCTGTCCTCCTAACTGACCTCATAGAAGGTGGCTCTCTGCCTCTAAGCCGAGCAAAGGGATTTTTTAGCTGGATCCGGAATGAATAGGAGATATTTCAGTATGCCATCTATGGGACACCTTTCTTTAGCAGAGTCTCTCTCTTGTTTGACAAACTACTTTAGTTTAAATTCCAAAAAAGCATAAAACCTGGTATTTTCGTATATTTTACAATTAGAGTACTGCCTATAAGGTCATAAGGTTAAAATGGTAATTACCTATCATGTCATCATATCTGTTGTTTCTGGTTACTGGTCAGTCGGATTTCTTGATCTGGATACGTGAATTTGTTAACCAATAGTCAACTAGAAGTTTTGTGAAGCGAATCAGCTTAATGAGTTCTGTACTTTCTTAAACTGTTAGACTTCTATTGCTCATTAGAGACGAACATATATGGGCCTCTGGTTATTTGGAAGAATATTGGTTTGACCTTTTTGTGTATTGCTTACCTCTTGCTTATTCTGACAGTTGTTAGTTGAGCTCTAAATTTCAACGTTATATTTGCATGTTACAGTTGCTATGACCTATGTGGTGTCTGGTAATATTTTCAATTGTGATGCTCGTTTGTGAATATTATGTTGGAGATATTATACTAAATCATGCCACCATAACTTGCCTTTTAAAAAGTGTAAATAAAGAACATCTCCGGTCAGCAGGTCTCATGAGAGAATACCCATTTCTCTGAGGAGGTCAACGATAGTGACTTTTTCCCTAAAATATTGTTACATTGCTCAATTAGATACTCAACTAGGTTTGATGCATTATGTGGTGGTATTTACATCATTTTGATATCCAGACTAAATATCATGTTTCTGTTTAATTTATATAAATATGATAAGCAAATTGACATTTGTGCTATTCTTTTTTTTTTGCTTGTTCCCCTGCATATTTCTAATCAGTAGCAAGTAATTCTGGCTTGCTGCATTCCTTCTTAGGCCACACTTATATCTTCTTTTCAACAGGGAGATTCAGTCCAGGAGCAAGTTGATGAGACAGCTCCCCAGGACGGTATTTCAGAGTTTGGGGCAAGGACTCCACCTCCGAAAAGTAGTGCAATTTCATCTGCTTCTCCAACATCAGCAGGAATCCATGCAACTCCTGCTGCTACTAGTGTTTCTTCAGTCCTTTCAGGTCCAAGTTCTGTTAAGGGAGTTTTGGACAATACTGGCTCTTCTGTTCCTTCGTCACCTATAAGCAGTGCTGCCAAGGAAGAAGAGATTTCCAGCTTTCCCGGTCGTAAACCATCTCCAGTGCTTGTCGAAGCAGGATTAAGGAATCTTGGTAGAGGTGGTATGACCAACCAATCCTCAATCAGTATTCCAGTTAGCTCCGGCAGTACTGCTTCTACCAATGGATCCCTTGGTGTTGCTCCTTCTGTGTCAGACACATCTAGGAGAGCTATGTTAGGAGGTGATGAGAGACTTGGCAGTAGTGGAATGGTGCAGCCCCTGGTTTCTTCTTTAAGTAGTAGAATGATATTGTCACAAGGTGCCAAGATCAGTGATGCTGTTGGTGCTGGTGACAGTGGCAATAATGGTGAGGCTGGAGGTATGACGGGCAGGGTGTTTCCACCATCTGGAGTTGCCGGCATACAATGGAGGCCTGGAAATCCGTTTCAAAATCAGCATGAAGGGGTATGTTACTATTTTCTCCTCTATTTCCTTCCAAACTCGTAAAAGTTAACTTGCATCTACAATCCCTAGTTGTTATCCTGATTGTAGTTTTTGCTAATTGCTACTTCTTACTAAGATTAGGGAAAAAACAAGACCTTGGAAACAAAAGAATTGACTGCTGATTTCACCTTAAGAAATATAATTTATCTAAATTCTACCTTGAAATATAAGCTGAAACGTAGTTAATTTTTTGCGTTCTTGTTTGTCTTTCCTATTTATGTTTTAGAAAAAAATGTAAGTTGGTAGAAGAACGATGTTTGGGATTCTATATGATCAATATTGGTTTGCAACTTTTGTAAATGCTAGTCATAAATTTTTGTAGTTATGTTTTCATGGCTTACAAAATGCACCTGTTGACTTTTGTTTCAATGATGATAAGGTTTCAAACTTAATAAAACATAATTTTCATCTTTTGTTGTTAAGTTGTTTCTACCTATTGCCCCTGCACCCACCCCCCTTTCTTCCTTCTTCTACTTCTTACCCTGTCTCTATATCCTTTACCTCATATCTCCCCCACTATTAAGTCTGCCATGCTGCCATCTGCTGTTACCTTCTCACCAATGTAGTCTCTCTCACCTTTATTTTCGCCTAATATCTTCTTTTTTTTCTTGTTGGCTAGTATTTTCAATGTCCCAATGATTCTTGGATATCTTTATGCTGTTTTCAGCTTTCTGCAACTTCTACTTGTATTTAGTTAAGGGCCTGTTTTTTAGCAGCTTAATGAGCTTAATGGGACTCGCAGCTTAATGAGCTTTATGGAACTCGCAGCTTATTCGGTCAGCTATACATGACTGTTTGGCAGTGGCTTTATGATATGGAAAGTTGCTTATTTATTAAGCTTCTACGAGGAGCTTTATGCAGAAAGCCAACTTTTTCCAAACCTGTCCCACCCAATTAAAAACATGCTCCTTCCATCTATGAAAAAACCCTGCTAAACAAGAACCTTCCCACTCTATACAAACAGATAAATCTACACAGACAACTTTATCTATACAGGACTAAATGGAAAACCAACCAAACAGCCTCTAAGAGTTCTTCTGTTTGCTTCTTTGGTACAGTTTCGCGGAAGAACTGAAATAGCACCAGACCAAAGGGAGAAATTTTTGCAGCGATTCCAACAGGTGCAGCAACAGGGTCAGGGTACCCTCCTTGGCATGCCTTCCCTTTCGGGGGGGAATCATAAGCAGTTCACGGCGCAGCAGAACCCCCTTCTTCAGCAGGTGTTAATCTTGATCATCATTTCTTTTTGGTTGACAAATTGTCTACACCCAATATTTTTTTTAGTAATGGTTCCCTTTTAGCTGACTGGACATTTAGTAGTTTATAAGTTTTGGGCATAAGAGTGACAGTTTAAATGTGAGGCTCACCATCTTCCTATGTTCAGGTGACAAACAAACACATAGCAGATGTCACTTATTTAATCTGTGTCAACATTTGTGTTTTGAATATAACGCTTTCTGTAAATATGTGATTAAAGGTGTTAAGGTGCACTTTGTTCATAAATACAGTTCAACTCTCAAAGTTCAGCAGTATCGCCTCATGGTGGGATGATTGGATCACCAGCTGCAGGTCTTATCACTGCCACCTCCGCACAGCAACAACCAAGTTCAATCCATTCACAGTCTGGTCAACACACACTGATTTCAACTGGTTCGAAAGATACCGGTATGTTCGGTGATAAACCATTGTCTGTATTTGTTACCACCTCAACCTGGGACTTCTTTTTGTGTTTTAAACATTATCGTAGAAGTTGCATTAGGTTATCCAATCGGTATCAACCAATTTGGATTTTTGAAGTTTCTGTGTTCAGACATTTGACATGAAAGAAATATCTGATCATCCTTTTAAATAACAATATATATACTTTTAAGTAGAAGCTGGGCATGTGAAAGCTGATGAGCTACAGCAACATCAAAGTCTATCTGATGATTCTGCCACAAGTTCTGCACTTGATAAGAATACTGCCAACGAGGATGATTTGAAAGTGTCATATGCATCAGATACACAGGTATTTTTATGGGAAATTATCACAAATAGCCGTTTTCGGATGTCACTTCATAGCCATTCCTCTCCCATTTTCACCATTTTATCAATACCTGCGCAAGTGCCCTTGCCACAACTTGCGGAGGGGGCATTTTTTTTAAGAACTCAAGTATCACTCCTCTTACCAAACTCCCAAGTTTCAAACTTGCGGAGGGGGCATATCAAACTTGCGGAGGGCCGGAGGGGATGAAAGCTCATTACGGGTTCCTTCCTCTTATCGCCATTTTAGCCATCAGTTATCTCTGACAGGTTCCTCTCAAGTCTCCATTTTCAGAAAACAAGCCATGGATGACAACTCAAGATTGATTTTTTTAAATACCCCCTCCGCAAGTTGCGGCCTGGGCACTTGTGGAGGTATTGACTTTTTAATGAGTGTGAGAGAGAGTTGGCTAGGAGGTGAATTGAGCCGCTGTAACAATTGCCTCAGCATTGTAACAATTGTTTTTGCATTTGTGTTCTTGTAGACCGGAGTTTCTGTCTCAGTGACGGAACCTGCACAAGTTACCCGAGATATCGATCTCTCTCCTGGTCAACCTTTACAGTCCAATCAATCTGCTAGCCTCGGGGTTATTGGTCGAAGAAGTGTTTCTGACCTTGGTGCCATTGGAGAGAGCCTCAGTGGGTCAACTTTGAGCTTGGGAGCCTCTCATGATCAGCAACACACCCTGCAAATGCTTGAAGCTGCCTTTTACAAACTTCCACAACCCAAAGATTCCGAACGTGCAAAAAGTTACACTGCAGTATAAACATTTCTCTTTCTTTTTTAAGCTATTTCACTTTTAGGGCTTGTTTGTTAGCAGCTTAATGGGACTCGCAACTTATTCGGTCAGCAATATATTACTGTTTGGTAGTGCCTTAATGATATAGAAAGTGGCTTATTCAGTAAGCTTCTAGGGGGAGTTTTTTCCAAACATGTCCCTACCTATTAAAAAACACGCTTCTTCCATCTATGAAAAAACTCTACCAAACAAAAACCTTCCCTGTCTATACAGACATATGAATCCACACAGGCAGCTCTAGCTTTATCCATCCAGGACTTGATTAAAAACCAACCAAACAGCCCCTTAGTTGTGAATTTATTATTATTTTTAATTTTAATTTATATTTACTGGATTTCAGAGACACCCTGCTGTGACCCCTCAAAGCTATCCTCAAGTTCAGGCTCCAGTTGTTAGTAACCCAGCCTTCTGGGAACGTCTTGGATCTGATAACATTGGAACCGATACTCTGTTTTTTGCGTTTTACTATCAACAGGTACTTCGCATCTTAACAGGTTTCCTCTATTTATCCTTCTCTCTAAAATTTCCGATTGGCTTCTTCACAACAATCACTTTGAATCTTGTTCTGAAGTGCACCATTTTTCACAGAACACGTATCAACAGTATTTAGCCGCAAAAGAACTGAAGAAGCAATCATGGAGATACCATAAAAAGTACAACACGTGGTTTCAACGGCATGAAGAGCCGAAGGTTGCAACGGATGATTATGAACAGGGAACTTATGTTTACTTTGATTTTCATATGGGCAATGATGAGATGCAACATGGCTGGTATGATCATTTAAAAACTTGCTTTTCATTGTCAATTGTTACTGTATTGATCTTAGATGCCATCCATATATTTTCCAACTAGTTCTATTGGCTGATTACCAAGGGACCGTTTACCCCGTAAGCACTTACCTGTAAGAGTCAACACTCTAACTACTTTACCAGATAATCTGTAGTCTATCAAAACGTTATCGTATGCAACAATGTACCCGATAAGTGCTTAACGAGTAAGAGTCATCAACTTTACTTACCATGTAAGACTTCTCCGTCCTCATCATGCTCTTATCGGATAAGATTCTCAGCCCTTATCATGTTCATCCAGTAAGGTAAATGACCTTTTAAGCACTTGCCGAGTAAGCGTTTAGTATAACGGCCCGTAATTTGCAATACCAAAATAAATGCTACTTCATAATAATACCCTTTTGGAATGGATTTCCCAAATTAAAAATTGCAACTTTTTTCTTTGCGTTGTGTTCTTGGATTTGGGAAGAAAATAAAAGAAAGGGAAAGAAAGAAACTCTTTTATTTGTGTTTATGAGATGAGAAGATAGGGAAAGGCAAAGGAAATAAAATAAATTCTCATATTCTTGAGCAGGAGAGAAATGAAAGAACAGATGTCGTTTTTATAAATATACCCCTATTTATTTTATAGCGTGTCGTATTTGATGGATACGTGTGTAGTTTTATGAATATCTTTAATTGTTATTATTTCTTTCGCCTACTTGCTTCACAACGTTTGGGAGGAAAATCAACATTATTTTCTTTTCCTTGGCTAAAAAGGACTCTAGAACAGCTGTGGTTACAAAATCTTCAACTCATACTATCTCTTTCTTTACCCATTAGCAAATCTTGTGAAAATGTTTGTGGTATTTTTATTTGCAGGTGCCAAAGAATCAAATCGGAATTCAAATTCGAGTACAATTTTCTTGAAGATGAACTGGTTGTGTAAATAACAAACAGCAAGAAATTGAGAGTAGCTTCTGGTTCCATTCTTTCATATTGAGGTTTTGTTTCTTTTTCTGTTTTTTTGGTGGGATTTATTTCTTGGATCAGATGACATCTTTCAGGAGATAAATAAATAAGTAAATGAACATACATACATACATACTTTCTGCTCTCAATCTTGCCAGGTTAGGTTTAGTGGGAGATTCGGTTAAATATCGTGAGAAAGTAAGAAGTTGAGGGAAGTTTCATATATGAATGATTGAAAAAATTTATTTGAAAATGCAGATGTGAACCCATATGAATAATCAGTAATGTTATTCATTTACGTATTTTCAAATAGATTTTTTTTGGATTATTCCGGTGATTGACATATGAATCTCCACTTAACCTTCTCTTCCTACTTTCTTATGATCTTTAATCTTCTTATTTGAAACGACCTCTGTTATGTTATTTTTTTTATTAACCTGAATATTCAACCCGCTATGCGAGCCGACTAATCCCAGGGCGACCACCTGCTTTGCAGATAGCCCGGAGTCGCCGTGGCCACAAGGGGATATTTATTCTTCCTTGAATTTGGACCTGGGACCTCCATGAACTTTTGACCTTTGGAGCCAAACTCAAACCAATCGGACATCACCCTTGTGGTTTGTTATGTTATTATTGTTATCGTAGGAAAAGATCCGAACTCTTAAAATGATGATGTAACCCAATAAATGGAAAGGTGCTGTTATTTTAACCTCCTTTTGGTTAAATGAGAGCTTTGGATATGTGAAAAAGGATTTGAAATTAATGCATGTGAGAAGTGTAGAGGTTTATATAATATATAGAGGGGGTTTACTTCTAATTATTTAATTAAGGAGGTGTTTGGTTTGAGGTATTAAGCAGTAATTAAGGAGAATGGAAATAAAAAAAAAATTGTTTAGTTTTTTATAATATAATGGGTTCATTCCTCTAGAAGCCTAAAATTTCATTCCTGGTTAAACTGAGGGAATGAAAATCCATTTCTCAGTATTCCCTGTCATTTTCATTCCTCAGCATTAGCCAAACAAACCCTAAATGCTTAAGGTTAAAAAAAAGTGATTACCGATGCATCTTTGTTTTTAGTGTTAAATACAAATTTGGTCCATGTGATCCATATAAATTAACGAGTAAGGTCTCTGAAAAGAATTATTAACGGGTGATATTCCTATAGTTTTATTTTCTTGACGGATATGGTATTTGCTCAGTTTAGTTTTTGTTAATGAGGGGTAGTTTTGTTTATTTACCATCCTCTTTCTTCGACTTTAATTTTCAATAACATGTGGTCCCTCAAATTACTTTTCATTTTGTAACATATATGGTCCCTTAAACTAGTTTTCATTATTATAACAAATTTGATCCCTCAAACTATTTATTTTTATTTTTATAACAGATTGCGTCCCTCCCTTAACTTTCATTTTTAGGATTTAATCCTTCCATTTTAATCAATAAAATTTGATGGTATAAACATATATTTTCTAAATATAATTAGCATAATAATTAAATAAAATTTGAAACTTAGATTTTACCATGAAATATTATTTTCATGAAATCCTTTAGCTCAACTAAAACATAATTTTGATAAATATTTTTTAATCAGTTGAAAATTAAGAAAAAAAAAAAACTAAATACCCAACAATATATTAAATAATAAGATAATAAAAAACGTCTCATTAACAACTTTATAGAACACTATTTGAAAAATTGTCCTATAAAAACAAATGTCCTATAAAAAATTGAG